TGTTCCATTTCCGTGTCAGACAATAGACTTGTTCCTGTTTTTCACATCGATCCCGGTTCGAACTGTGTGCTAGATAGACCGTTGTGTAAATGTCTTGATAGCAAAAAATAAACTCCTGATTTTTCTGGATCGTCCTATAAAACAAATTGCCTGTAAAAAAACAGCGTCGAGGACGGTAGGCTCGTGGTAGCTATTTGTCACCTGCCCCATCCTGTTATCTCGGATAGAGTGAAAAGACACTCCAGTGGTTAACGTTGAAGAAATAGGTATTACCTCATTGAATAAGCGCGATCGCAGATAATCGTGGGCAATGTCGAAGCTTGCGGTGAGTAGAGATTCCGCACCAAATGGTCTATGGTCTCCTTAGCGGCACTGCCATCCTGTGCGGTGAGAGCTTCGTCTCAAAGATTCACTTTCTTGTCTTCAGAGAACACGGCCAAATCACCGAAAGCGACGGGGTCAGAGAAACGAGGACAGTTTGTTTGATTAACAGTAGCATTATCTGAACATGTTACGATCTGATCTTGTCATCGCACGTTCAAGGAAATGCGTAGGTACCAATAGTCTAGAGTTTCCGAGTTACGTATATCCTCAGAATCGTGTTTGAAGGATTCCGCCCGTTCAATTAGATGCTGAAAATTGGCCCATCCGGGTGGATAAAGCTAATACTGATTCATCTGCAATTAATCAGAAAAATCTGATGAAATTAAAAATAGCTTTTGATTTACATTTTGGTTAAACCTCATTTGGGATTGGAACCCAAAGAACCGTTGTGGTCGTTCGTTTCCATATAAGACTATTCACTTATGCATGCACCATTTCAGGTATCTTCTTCCTATCCTGACGTGCTATTCGAAGAAGTCGCCTCCGGAACTCCACCTTGCGCTTCTCTTGCTCAAGAAGTACCACGGTATGTTCTCTTTCCACTTCTTACTAGCGAATTTGTTACTCTTCTACTCTGTTTCAGAATTTAAGCTTTCGTTCCTATCGCACTGGAAATCAACTCCATGTGGAGCACATATTCGCTAATTGAATTCTGTTTCACGAGAGCAATGGAGGATCTTCTTTAGTACATATATTTGGGTGATGAACAGCAGACGGGGCGAATTCCATAGTCACGAGAACCTGCTGTTCATTGATAAAAAAACGGGTAACCTAAGCCCCGGGACTTGGAATGGCAAACCACGTTAGGAGGCCCCGCTAGGTTAGACGTAGTATTAAACCGGACCACAGCAAAGCTACCTACCACTAAAGTTGGATGGTGATGGTAGCGTGACTAGAACCTTGGAGTCCAAAACACGCCGGTGACAGCGATTAAACCACTGTGCCACGAATTTGTATGTATCGAGAGCAAACGAAACATGAACTGAAAAGCTAGGAAGCTTTGGACAGCTGTTTTGACTTTGTTGGGTCTCATCAGCAGTGAACGAATCCATCGAACTAACAGCAGATGGAACCCGGAACCTATTAGGCAGATCGCAAGCTTATTACCCACCCGACCACCAGACAGCGGATCATCCTCCTTTTACAGTGTGTAGCACAATCCATCTTTCCGAGCTTAATGTAAGCATCGCACCTTGTGATTTTCTCCACCAGTCTTCGGGGTTATAACTCGGTTAGAAACATTCCAACCCGAATATGTGGTACATGAGAGAAATGGAGGAGTGAGTTCGTATATATAGTGAATTTCGTCGTGTAAGGAAAAAATGAAAGTTGGGTCGATGGATTCGCTCCCTGCTGATGAGGTCCAACCAGATCGGAACAGCTTTCCAGTGCTTCCTAGCTTTTCGATTCAGTTTGTTTTGATCCGTCGGCTGGTGAAATCCTCCCTGAGTTTTTTTAACTTCTGTAGTACATTGTGTCGGTCATTTAGTAACACGCTACCTGGAACCGAATAACATATAATCTCACTTTTTCAAATCCCCATTCCTTGTGAGTGATTTGTTAGGATCCTTATTACTGCTTGTGGCTGATCGTCTCCCAGACTTTGTCCTCACATACGATTTTCAACTCATGCGGCCAACCAGACATCTGAGAGGCGCTTGACTCTACTCGTCCGAGATTTGCATTCGTGGCTCCTCATTCGAAAAGTTTGTTGTGTCACTGCGAACCAGCGGACCGCAGAACTGACTAGAATGATCAATTCCCATTTGTTTAGATCTTGCCCCTTAAATAGTCACGTAATTGTTCACCCGAAGGATTTAAGGCAGACACAATGTATAGCCTGTTAAATTCAATCGAAAGCATCTTTGCCGCTTCATCCACAAGTGAACCGGATAATCTAAGTTCAGTCTTCTTTTTTAATTCAGAATTACTTGTGACATGGTTTTTCAAGCCAAAATTTCGTATGCTCGTGAATATTTCGAAATGTGAAATGTGTTCATCACGGATGTGGTTGATCCGTTATCATTTGAAAGTTGTCTGTTCGTTTCATGTGCACGTAGTATTTCAAACCATCCTGTCTTCTTTTTTCTTCATACCTGTTTGCCCACAACCCCGCCC